TACACACACACACACACACACACACACACACACACACACACACACACACACACACACACACACACACATATATTCATTCACACACACACACACATACATACATATATTCATTCACACAATCATTCATTCAAGTTCTGTATAGGTGTTATAGTTACCAGCCTAGAAGTTGCTCATGCCAAGTTGCTGGCCAGGTATCTTGGTCATGAGGATGGAGCCAAGTCTGTGTCAGGTGCACCTGATGCTCCTGGAGGTTGGCAGCAGAACCAGACACTCATAGGCCTGTCTTTTGAGTCCATTCTTATAGGATTTAATTCCTATGTTAGTCTATGGGAGCTGTTTCATCCTGCTATTGCTGACTCAATCAGCAGATGGCACATTCCTGGTGGCTCCACACTGTCCAAAGTTTGTGTTTCTCATCCTTCCAGGTGATGGGGTGGATCCCAGTTTACCCTCCGGGGGGGTTGTCTGATGGTCCACTTGATACATTCTTCGGCCGATGGATACTCCCTTTCTAGGCTGGCACCTCCCTAACCATCCATGTACATCAAGCATTCATCAATATACATTCCATATCTTAACCCTATTTTAATTTACTGTCTCCACCACTTTCGGGGTGTGTGCTAATTCATTTGAGACTCCAGGCCCTTTAATCACAGAGCGTGGGGGTCTGTTCCTAAGAGCCATTGCTGTTACAATGAAGTGAAAGTCACTTACCGGCTTAAGGCTCACAGCAGGGGTGGTAACAGTGTTCACTTTAAGAACAAAGTCAATTAACTTTTTTGTAAGTTTTATATAGTAATAAAGTATCTTTCCCAGGACAGTTACAATCAATGGTTTCTTACAGACAGTAGCTTACAAATTTTAACAAAAGACCCAAGAGATTTTTGTACTTGGTGAAACTGTTGGATTTTAAAATGTGGGGGACAAATTATGGGGGGTCACTGTCACTTGGGGGAATCACTGTTAGCACCTTCTTTACTATCCCTACAAATTTGTTAGGCCAAGGGGCGTGGGTGTGAGCCCGCTGCCTCCTGCTGGCTGCAATCGGAGATGCGTGGAATATTCCTTGGGGTCAGGGGGCCTTCAGCCACTCGATACGTCTGCTCAGACGGCTGGGCATTGGATTTCCCCCAACTCCGCTCCCCTCTCCGGTGCCCACCCCCTCCACTTTGCACCTCCTCTGGGCAGGGCTCGGTCCGCCCCACCCCCTCCGCTCTGCCCCACCTCCAGCCCCGGTGGGAGCAGGGCGCGGGGTCTGAGGGCGTCACTCCCGCCTGCCCTGGCTCAGGCTGTGCTGGGGGACAGTGAACGCCGCGGTCTGCTGGGATCTGCCCCACACGCGAGCGTTCACAGGCCGTGCGCCCCCGGGACCCACCAGGACGTCCGTGGACCGGGCCCTAGACCACAGTGACAGCATCTTCCCCTCGCTGAGCCCCCGTGGCCTTGGGGGACAGCCCGGGGCTGGATCAGTCGAGGCCACGCCAGGCAGCGCGGCAGACCCGGGATGCCCCCTGCCACTGGGCCACGGATCGGAGCCGCCCGAGTGCTCCAAGGGGAAGCCTCTGGCCACGGCTGCCACAAGCTCTCCCCCACCCCCCGTCACGGATCCACGGATCCAGTGCTCTGGCCCAGTCCCTGGGAGGAGTCCTGTGTACGTCAGCCCCCTGTGGGTCACACTCACTGGGGTCAGCCCCT